ATCTACTGCAATTTTTTAATTTCTCCCGCAATTTTTTTTTTGATAGTATTTTAACGTTTTTAATATATAAATAATAATTTTGAGAGACATTAATTGATTTTTTTTAAATATTAAATATTTATTCGAAAAACATGTCTAGTTTGTAAATTTATTTCTATTCTGATTTATTTTTATCCAATAATAATTTTTTCATTCATATAAGTCAGTAAAGTACAGGGGGGTATATCAGCACCGATTGCAATACAAAATTATTCTCAAAAATAATAAATAATACAGATGCAACTACATTTGCGGAAATCCTATACATCTATCATGTAGTTCAACATTCACAGAGCTATATCATCACAATGTGGGTCGAATCTTTTTCTCATGATTTTTAACGACTCCATATAAGTGCAAACCTTACTTGTGGCAAAACAAAAATGAGCAAGGCTATCACAAGTGTTTTAGTATCTGAATCCTAGAGATCAATTCTAGACGAATTGAAATATGGGCATCTATATGCAATTCTAACAGATGCTAATAAGAGAAATATTAAAACATTTCCCTCGATCCTTCGCTCTTTTAACAAGAATAAGTACATTTCAATAAAACTGTTATTTTTTCCTCGGATAGTGAAAAATCCAACAATGTAGCTAGCCACATAATGGTAAATATAGCTGATTCAGGGTTATCAATGATTTACATTAATTCTTGCAAGAAGGCAATGAATGTACTATTTGTGGATGTCGAAATAATTGTGATGAAATGTTTTAACGAATTTAGTTCATCAACTAAAAGAGTTAATGAATTAAAAGAGGTGGTAAAGTGGTCTGACTTAGAATGGTGTGAGTTGTTGCTATATATACCTATCAGGTGGTTATCATTAATACCTGCCATCGATAGAATTTTAAAATTTACAAACCCTTAAAAAATAATTCTTAAAGAGATTTTAAAAGCTGTCCTAAATTTTTGAAAAATTTTTTCGAGTATGAAATGGCAGAAGCATATTTGGGATTCGTTTCACATGTAGGAAATCTACTTCATGCAGTTAATATTCAGTTGCAATCAGAATATTCTTTATTAAAAAGGATTCACAAAATCATGCTACAGCTCTGTTCATCTCTACAGTTAAAAATTGATAATAAATTTTATAGTGCTATTGCTAAAATTATTATATTAAAATGTTCAAATAATACTCTAATTAATACATTTTTATATGTAGCAGATATTTTTATTAAGACAATTTTAAAATATTTACAATCAAAATTTGATTTTAATAATTCTATTTACAAATGTATAAATATTATGACCTTGGAACAGAAACCAACAATTGATGGTTTTTATAATTTAATAAATATATTAAAAATACTGAAAGACATTGATGTCTTGTTTGTGGAGATTGTAATTCTCTCTATTTTTTATGATACGCCAAAATATTTAGTTAGATGGTTTAAAAGCAAAGGTAAAATGGGTAGAATTTTTTCGTAATAACGATAAATCCCCATGCTTGGAAAAAATATGCGAGTATGTCTTCTCCTTACCTCATTCTAATGCCTCATCCGAGAGCATTTTTAGCTTGATGAGGACTGCCTAGAAAAAGGAGAGAAATCGGATTGCTTTAACAACATTAGAGGTCGAGCTAATGGTTAAACAAATATATAAAATGTCATGCCAGAAATTTTATAAATATCTCTATATCGACGGTAAACATTTAGTTCTATTATTTAAAAATCTCAAATAAAATATAATTAAGTTTTAGCAATGGCGTCGTAAAATTTATTGTCAATTATTAAATGTAAAGATGAACACATCTGCAGCATAATTTTGTGAATCTTTGTTAAGATTATTCTCATTGAAATTACACATTAACAGCATGTAGTAGATTTCCTGCATGGGAAATCTTTCCTAAATATACCTCTGCCATTCATTATTAAAAAAATTTTTAAAATGTTAGGACAGCTTTTATAATCTTTATTTAAGAAATATTTTTTTAACGGTTTATAAAATTTTAAAATTTTACGATGACGGGTAAACATATAGCAACCAACATTGTTGACTCAATTCTATAAATACACTCTTTTTACCAAATTCACTAAGGCATTATCAAATCAGAAAGCTGACTTGCAATTTATTGATAATCTCGAATCTGCTATATTTACCATTATATGGTTAGCTATGCCTTTGGATTTTTCACTATTTGAGGGGGAAAAATTTAATAGTTTTATTTAAACGACCTTAATTATGTTGAAATAGCGGAATCAAGGGAAATATTTTAATCTTTCCCTTATTGGATGCATCTGTTAGAATTGCTTATGTATGCCCATCCCAAATCGTCAAGAATTTACCTCCTGGATTTAGGTCTTAAAACATTGATGATAGCCTTACTCATTTTTGTTCTACAAGTATAGTTTTCATTTATATTAGAGTTGTTAAATATTATGGGGAAAAGATTCTACCAACATTGTGATGATAAGTATATCTTAGAAGGTTGTACTACAAGATACAGTGTTGTGAAGATTTAATGAAACATATTGACGATTAAATTAAAACCCATCCATATAAAATTATAATCTTTGCAAAAATAATTTAAAATAATAGCATTATTGAAATTTCTTCTATTTATTCCTTTTGTTATTTTAATTAATTTTATATGGATGGGTTTTAATTTAATCGTCAATATGTTTCATTAAATCATCACAACACTGTAAGTGATTACAATTGCCGCAACTGTAGTTGCATCTGTATTATTTCTTATTTTTGGAGTACCTTATTATGTATTTAAACGTGATAAGTGATAATTAAGCGCCTATCCCTATAATGTTATACACACACGGTAGATTTCCAATTGCGGTAGTTTTGAAGGACATTCGCAAATAATGTTTTTAATTGTAAAATTAAAATCGTTTTTTTTATAAAATTTTATCTTGTTTACATTCTTTTATATTTAAAAAAGATCGTTGGTTTTTTTTTTATTAATTAATATATTTTAATAAATCAAGATGTTATTTTATTTTGAAAAATAGTTACCTTTATATTTATATAAACTAATTATAAAAAATAATAGGCGGATAGGTCCGCAATTTTTTTTTAGCATCTCCCGCATAATACCAAATTTCTCCCGCAATTTAAAAATTTTGACCTGGCAACCCTGGTCATAACTATTTTAACTAAATCCCCAAATAAATTATTACAATTAGTCCATAATCTCAAAATGATATTTGAATTCATTTACCAATTTGCAGTGCCAGATGGCTCGTTATATTTAATAAATATTTACCATGATCAATAAAATCCCAAATCATTACTCTAAATCCAATAATTATTCAATTCATTCTTCGTTTGTACCAAATTAACTATTTCTTATTTTATTATTTTCTTTATTTTGCCAATTCATTCATCACCCAATTTTCTTTGTCATCAATTATAATAATTCATTCAATATTAGATCCATTACATAATAATAATTCGTTTATTACAATATTTATAATTTATTTATTGTCTAAATTGATTCACATTTGTATCTTTATCCCAAATTTAATTTTACTCAATATCTATTCAAATTGCTCAGTATAAACACACATATAAAAAAAATCATACTTCAATACGTACGATTCATTAACATATTTTATTCGATCAAGTTAACCCTATAAAGCTAATATATAGTATATATAACTCGGACTTATTGCAATCAAATAATCCATCTATGCAAGTTTTATTAATTATAATTAATTTGATAACAATATCATAATAATACAATAATATATAAACATCCTCATTCCATTCCACTCCGCCAATAATTCTCGAACTTTTCTTCATCTCCAAAACCATATGATGTGGATTCATTATTCTTATCCGTCAATCCTAGCGCGGTAGCTAATCACAACAATATCTAATAGGGCAGTTAAAATTTTAATTATACACATTAATTAGAATATAATAATAGAAAGCATGATTAAGATGTATTGAAACTAAATTCAGGGAACGTATACTTTTTCATGTAAATAAAGCTTATAATTATTTCCTAAAGTTTGAACAGGGCTAATGAACGATTTATTTCGTGTTAATGCAGCTTTAAATCATCCATAAATCATACCATTTTCTGGGATGATATAGAAGATGTAATTTGCTTTAAAATTAAATTTATTTTAAAAATTGAGGATATGCCGTGCCCTGACCAAATATAAATGATAGCTAACATTTTAGATTAAAAGGAAATTCCTACCTTTTTTGCCAAATTAATATTCTTTTTAAAAACATTCCTTAGCAATCCTAGTATCATTGAAAAACTTTAACCATCCTCCTTATAAAATTTTCCTGTTTTCATAAATATTTTTGAAAAAATTCCTCACCTCGGATTCGTGGCTCGTTTCCATAAATGATATTATGTTATTTTTAATTTAAAATGTTTCTTCCATTTATAGTTTTTATAAATGAATGTCTTACAAAATAGAATACATATAAAAAAATATAATTATTATTATATATATATATATACATATACCATATTTTGGAATTTTATTCATTAACTTTAGAGATGCAATAAAATATAAATAATATAGATATATAAATGTAACATTACAATAACAAATTTACATCGAAACGATAATATATTATATATTAACAAAATTTTGAGCGAAAAGGAAAATCTAATCGTGTTATTGAATTTTTTTAGATAATACATATCTTGTGTCATCCTCATAGTGATTATTTAAATAAATAGAAGGAGCAGAGTTGGAAAGGGAATATGATAACTTTATATATTATAAGCCCTAAAAGAGGATCAGATTATTAAAAAATTTAACTAAAAAATCACTAAGAAAAACAGCGAATAACCAAGAAGCCATGCTCCTAAAACAAATATTTCTAATGAATTGGCATATTCTGAATTATTTGAAATCAAAAATGTATTGTAGTCGTCGAATACCAATAAATAAGTTAGGATGGCATCTTCTTGTACATCACGGATTATGAGATTTTATATATTTTGTAACATATTTCAAATTTCCATAAATTCGATAAGAAAACCTAATGTTTATATTTTTTTTGTTTCGGTACTCAATTAAAAACTTTTCCAGTCCTCGTGATAATCAATATAATGAAATGATATATTCTCGGTATTAGAAGTATAATATGAATAAATAAAAACTGTTTATTGTGTAGAATAATTTAAAATGTTTAAACTATGATAATATATAATAACTTTTTAAGAACAATTTGTAATAAACTCGGTTTATATGGATACTTCAAACTTTAAAAAAATTTACATGCCAGACAAAATTGTATATGTTTGTAATCAAAATCTTTTGAACTCCATATTTTGATATTATAAGTAATTGACCTATTTTAGAGCAACAATATATTCGATTTAAAATTCATTGTGAAATATTCATAGCAAATTATTGAATCTATTTTAATTTTGTTTTACTATAAATTAAAAATACTAGTTATTTAAATATATACATTTTACATGCTTGTTTTAATTTAAGAAAACAATTCATACATTAAATAATCTCTTATTTTCCAGGAACAAAAGTATTTCATAATTTTCTTATAATTTTTAAACTATTATTGTTAATTGATTGTAAATCTTTTTAATTTGGGCATCTAATAGGTTGGGACTAGTATTTTGCTTAAATTACCAAATTATTAAAATGCTTTTTCTTTTTGGGCTATTTGAGAATATTTAATTTTGAATTATGAATATAAATGTCATGGCAAAAAGATCTATACTAAAGTATTATAGTTAAAATATATTGAAATTGATTTTTTTTATTAATAAAAACTGTGAAAGGTCATATATTTATAAATAGATGAATAGCAATTTGAATAAATCATTTGTTATAATGGCAATATCTTTAAGTTGGACATAAATTACCAACAATAATACCTTACTTCACCATTTATTAGGATTTTCCTGGGTAAGTCATTCCCCCCTTTCTTCTGTTTTAATCACAGGTAATTGGTAACAACTGCAGATAGCTAATGAGGCTTAAGAGATTCCCACTGGTGTGGCATAGAATATAATCACCAGTTTCCTCCTCAAAAATGAGTTAATATTAGGAAGGGAATAACTGCTCCAAAATCCTCTTGTGGTCACATTGATAATTAACTCAAATTAAAAATAATTGCTTGCAATAAGCCATGAATTTATTTTTTAAAAATAACTGACAAATAGGTGATGTTAATTTATTTTATTTTTACTTTTAAATTCATCTAACTTTAACAAGTTTATTTCATATTTATAATGATGAATTTATATTAAAAAATTAAAATATTTGTGAATTATATTTTTGCCTTTCCCAATAAACAATACACATATAATAATAACGTTGGTATTACTGGTTGGACAAAAAAGTGGTAATTAGATATATTACATATTCATAATCTTTGGAACCCCTAAAATCTTGTTTAAATGCTGAAAGTTTCTTATAGAGTTTGAAATGCTCTCTAAAATAAATAATCAAAGATTTTATTCTTTTTTTAAAATAGATATTTTTCTTTTTTGTAAAAAATCTTTTGTTATTTATGCATGAAAATCATTTACGATTAAATGACAACTTTTTTTTAAAAAATGATTTAAAATCTTCAATTTTGTGAGTACCTAAAATAAATAAATAATATTTGAATGATATTTGGCATATTAGTCTAAGCCATTGTGGTTTATAGTTATCTTTTAGTGCAATGTTCTGAAACCCTATACTATAAAATATTTGGGTAATTGCTAAAAATCAGCTGATTTCGCCTGAAGTCACTGGGAATTGCACATGTTAATCTATCTATCCTTATCGCCAAGAAAATAGTTCCATATTAAAACTAATTAGCTATTTTTTTAGCTAATTAAAGAAAAATTAAACAAAATACTTGATTGCCATATTGTAAAAAATTGTATTACCCCGCAGTTACAGTTAGCGCGATGAATTATCAGCTAAATATATAAAAATGTCAGAGACCTGTGTGAGCCAGACCATATTTTAATTTTTTTTTTTAAATATGACAAGCTTTATCACGATTATTAGCTATAAAAATTAAAAATAAATGTAATAATATTAGACCTGCGCACCGATGTCTCAATCAATGGCGGCGGTTTTTTTAAATTTTTTTATCGGCGTTCGGTAGTGTTGTTAAACGGCTCATTTTGAGCCGATTTTTTAAAACGGCTAACTCAATATTTTAGCCAGAAAAATATTGCCTAAGTCTCGAGATTTCGAAAATATATGCCTAGACCTTTGTTCCTTCTATGAGCAAAATTTTGAGGCTTGCGTAATATTTTTCTGGACGAAATATTGAGCTAGCCGTTTTTAAAAATCGGCTCAAAACGAGCCATTTAACAACACTAGCGTTCGGCGACGCACCGATTTTGCCGCCGCTTACTAAATTTTCGGGCAGCGGCACAATATTTATTTTAAAATTTTTTTAATGAATTTAATTTATAAATCAATGTATAACACTTATATTATATAAATAAATTTACTCATAGATTTTTTAAACATTTAACATTTCAACTAATTTAATACTATAAATGTAGAAAATGACAAATTTGTAAAATAAATGGATATATAGATATATTAAAATTATATATTATAATGAAAACAATATCAGAAAAAAAAATTAATTAATAAATATTTAATAATACTATTAAAAAAAAGAACGGAGCATTTTTTATAATTTATGTAGGCGATCTTTTCTAACACATTGCTAACATAGTTTAATTGATCTTAAATTATTTCCTGTCTCACTCCAATTTAAATTTATGTATTTTCTCGTTCCCAGAAATAGAATAAGGAATTGTATTTTTATTTTTTACTCAATCAGAGTCATATCAACAACACATATAAGAAATATTCTATTCTATTGATTTTTTATTATAATTAAAATAAATTTGGAATGCTGGCAAAATATGAAGTATCTATATATATAATCACCGTAATCAAAAAATGAACGTTTTCGTATAACCTTAATGTTAATTTTTATTTTTCTCATCAACTTTCCTATCTTCTTAATGTTAAATAAATCGATGGAGACTATCTCTCTAATGTTAAATTTTAAGAAAATTTTTTGTACATAACGGGATTCGAACCCATGACTTAATGTTTTAAAGGCAATCGTTCTTCCCACCCAGCCACCTTCTATATTAAATTTTGAAATATAATCTTTCTTATACGTTATTATTTTTCATTTTTATTGGCTTATTAATCTTTATTTTTATTGGCTAATTAAGGTCTTATTTCATTGGTTTAAAATTATTATCCTTCTATTTCATTGGTTTAAATTTATTTTCTTTGTTTTATTAATTAATTAATCAACCATTTTTAATTAATGATTTTTAAGAAGATCACAACCTTTTTAAATTTACCACTTTTTAATCGAATTATAAATTATTTCTTACTCTGTCAGGTAAAATTATTATATGAATAAAATTTAATATTATAATTTATTTAATAGAATTTTCCTCCATATTTCAGGAAAAAACAGTAGGATGAATCAAATATTTGAATTTGAACAAGTTAAAAATCTAATAATATAGTAAGAATGAATATTATTAAATTTAAAATCAATTAATGTTTATAAGTTAAATTAAACTAATTATGATTTGTGAGTGTTAATAATAAAGTAGTAAGTCAAATTTATTTAATTGAATTTGCCTCCATATTTCAGAAAAAAAAACAGTAGGATGAGTGAAATATTTTTTAAAATTTAATATTATTTTATAGCTAGCATTTAAGTCAAATTTATATAATGGAATTTGCCTCCATGTTTCAGAAAAAAAAACAGTAGGATGAGTGAAATATTTTTAAAATTTAATATTATTTTATAGCTAGCATTTAAGTCAAATTTATTTAATGGAATTTGCCTCCATATTTCAGAAAAAAAACGGTAGGAACAGGGTTAACCTCACGGATAATAATATTGACAAAATGGCACATCATAATAGCCCCACCAATAAACTACCCTAAATTTTTTTTAAAAAAAAGTTTTGCCGACCCGGCCCGAACCCGAAATTTTTTTAAAAAAATTTACCGACCCGGCCCGAAGCCCGTTCGGGCCGGACTCGGGCCGGGCTTAACTTTGCAGATCTCTAATATTAACTACTAACTTACGAGCCATTGGATAAGGATCTAAACAAAATGCTTTCAATGGCCCCTACTACAGCCAATCAAATTTGTCCACGGCTGGCTTAAGAACCCTTTATAAGTGACGTCAGTCTACGGCGTTATCCATCCATTTTTTCCTTCATGAGGTGAACCTTTTGAATAGTTGAAATTAATGTTGCAAACTCATTTGTCAAAATAGTTTTTATTTTGTAAATAAAAATAATATCGATATAATGAAAAAAAAAATTTTTTTCCTCTTTTTATTTAGGGGAAATTTTATCCTGATTTTTAGTAATGTAAATAAAAAATTGCAAACAAAATTATGAAATAATGTTTTTATAACCATTGTCATATTTATATTTATATATATATAAATTGTATTAATAACACCAAATTTTTCAAAAATCACGATTTTAAAATTGAATAATTATATTCCACTATTTTTTACACGATGACTGGGGTGATGTACCAGATTCAAAATGAGTCTGTCTACAGGAAGTGGCCAGACCTGTTGCCAGGGAACTTCAGTTGGTGGGGGAAAAAAGTCTTGTTTTATATGGTATTAGAAACAAATTTTGAGGCCAAGTTTGGGGATAAATTTTGTTTTAGAAGAACCCCCCCCCCCCCTCCTTTTTGATTACTGGGCTGAGAAATGATGGGGTCAGAGAAGGGAAACTGAGGAATGAATTAAGGGGAAGGCCCATATGTTATTGTCATAAATGCTCTGATACCGCTTTTTTTTGCTAAGACCCCCATCACTGTCGGATAATGTAATAGCTCTCTGTCACCGTTATTTAACTTTAAAATAAATTTACCATATTTTTATATAAATGATTAATTTTTGAAAAAAAAATATATATTGTGATTAAATTACCTGGATTATTAAATGATGATCAGGAAAATCAAGATTTTTGATTGGTTCCTTTCAATTTTGGATTAAAAATTTGTGAGGCATATTTTATACGCATCATATTAAATTAACGTAATTTTAGCTCTTTGCTATTTTATACTAACCCTGGCATAATAGAGTTTCGAGGTGCAAAATTTGAGGTTTTTATTTTGTTAAATAATTAGTTTTAGATTAAAAACTAAATTAAGTACGAATATTGAATCTAATGTTAATTGGCTAATTTGAAAATCGATAAATTATGGGGGGGAAACGTTAAAATTAAATTTTTTAAAAATATTGGGTTATCTTATGTCCAATTGAAGGCTAATTTGAAAATCGATAAATTATGGGGGGAAACGTTAAAATTAAATTTTTTAAAAATATTGGGTTATCTTATGTCCAATTGAAAATTACGATCTTCACAAATTTTTCAAAATTTTTTATTATTTTTTTTTCAATTTCATTTGACCACTCTTTCTCTAATATAATTTCTTCGATAATATTTAGATGGTATTATATAGGGAACATTTTTCAAATGCAATAATAAGGCATATTTTTAAAAAAAAATATATATACCATTATCATCCCTTAAAAATCATTTTTAAAAGTAGATTATATTTGATCTAAGAGGTATAAAATTTATTCAGTCCCCGCCAGAGGTATCATTTGTAGGTCCCGGCCCGGGTTTTATTTTTGAAAATATATTTATTTCAAATATTCGGTTTTAAAATATCAGGCCCGGCCCGGATATCATTTTTTAAAAATAATTTCCGGCCCGGCCACATCCGGGTAAATTATGGCCTGAGGGTCTCTCATATATATGTATATATTAAAATTTAGCACTAGCAATTATTGATTACCAAAGAAAAAATATCGTATTTTACTCTTAAAATCATAAAAATCAACCTAAATCAGCTGTAGTTTTGAAAAAAAAAATTTTATTGCACGGTGGATTTTGTTAAGATGAGGAAAAACTTTCTTTGAACGAGGAAAATGGGAAAAGGAATATTGTTTGTTTGAATTTAAAAAAAATAAATTTTATAAAAGCAATTATTTTTTTTTAAAGGTTAACGAATAGCAATGGCACTTGATTATTCATAAATCATAATTATAAAAAAAAAATTTAAATTTGCCTTGAAGGGATTCGTCGAATATACGTAATTTTATTTTCATTTTTTTTAAAAACTTTTTATTCATTTTTTTGTCTTTCCATTCATTTATTCTTTTTTTTCCTCGAGGACTATAAATTCAATCTTTCATTTCCGGCGATTTATATTCTCTTAAAAAAAATATAGATTACGCTCCTCATTTTTTATGAAGAGAAAGTGTAAAAAAAATGACTAATTGGCATTGTCCTTGTCACATACAAATTCTAATTATCTCGCCATCTCGATAAAAACAAGAGAGAAAACACCTGTTTTGTACGACAGGCCGGGTCCTACCCCATACTAGGTCACGTGATCCGAAGATCGACTCGACCCGAAAGCCCTCGATTCGGGTTGGATAAAATAAAAACTGTGTTGGATCGAGTAAGATGTGCCAAATATATTTTAGGGCCTGGGGTAATTTGTGCGAAATTTTTTTAAACCTTTTACCTTCACAAGAAATTTTAAAAATATGAAATGGGAAGGGGCGGTGGGTGTGAGGGTGAGGGACGAATGGATCGGAAGCAAAGGAATGACCCATTTAGTCATAATAATAGGATAAAAGCTGTAATCAACGCTAATCTGGCCACTATATCAAGATTTTATTGGTGGTATTAAAATAACCAATAGCAAAATCACTCAGTGTGCCAATACTAATGAATCAATTCAATAGGCTTAAAAGCTGCGAATTTGGCTTTACTCTAAAAAAAAAATTATTTCCTTATATAATGTATCCCATTTTACCTAAAAAATATTTTTAATTTTTGATTTTACCGAAAAAAAAAATATATTGAACGCTATTATTGGTGGTGATAATTATTTACTTTGGAAAGATTAAATAATATATCGATCTTCTTATCCATACAATTTATTATATAAATGTAGTATCGGTGGTAGCAATATTTAGTATATCTACGAAAATACATTCTCGTATCTATTTAATTACGATATCATATTTGAAGTAAGTGAATATACAAAGAATCAAAAACTTCAATAAATGCCGACAGAATTTTCATAAAATGGGCAATCATTCATGCCACTTACAGTTTATTCCTCTTTAAGTTGGGGGTAAAAATTACAACTGTACTACTATCAATATTATTAAACCTATACAATAATACTGCTTAACTTATGTAATGATTTGAAGTCAAGTATTGGTTATTGTAAGCTAGCCACTAATCAAGACTCTTTTTGGGATTGATGGATTATCCCTAATCCTAAGGTAACTTTCATTTTTTGTGCCCAAATCAAAAAAGGGGGGGGGGGTGAGGGTAGGGAAAATATGATAAAATAAATCAATATTTAATAAAAGAAAAAAAGTGATATAGATAAAATAAGTAATAATAATTCACATAAAGAAAAAATCGATATTTTTGAGAAATGTTTAAAATTTGTCATATTTTTTATCTCTCTTCTCTTCTCTTCTCTTCTCTTCTCTTCTCTTCTCTTCTTCTTCTCTTCTTCTCTCTTCTCTTCTTCTCTTCTCTTCTCTCTCTTCTCTCTCTTCTTCTTCTCTTCTTCTTCTCTCTTCTCTTCTCTTCTCTCTCTCTTCTCTTCTCTTCTTCTCTTCTCTTCTTCTTCATTGAAGATTTTTAATTTGATGTTATTTATAAAATGAAGAGAGATGAGGCCAATTTTACCGTAATATATTATTTCGTATAGTGCCAAAATGTTTATTAATTTTTTGGGGGGAGTTATTTTAAAAAACGTGGGTAAAAAAAACAGAAAATTTACTATTTCTTTGACTCCTTATTTTATTTTTTATTCTTCGGTTCGCGCCATCCACTGGAACCCTGCAATTGTGCTTAAGAACTACATTTTATTTTTAAGAAAGCTCGTCAATATAAAAAAAAGAAAATAAAGGAGAATGCAGAGATGTCTTCTTTGCTTCTTAGGCTAATAATAGAAGCCAACTTCTGCAACCCCCCCCCCCCATCCTACCAAGCCAAAGTTAGCGAACCAAAAAAAAATATAGAAAATTTTAATTAGCGGAGAAAATCGAAATCGAAAATATTCCCTAGCCCCCTTCTCTTTACAATTTCAGCTGACTATCACACGTCACTCTCTCTAGTTGTCTATTATGAGTCATACCCCCTCCCCTCTTGTTGTCGAAGTCCCTGGAGAAATTTAATTGTTTCTAAGCCATAAACAAAAAAATCAAAAGTATAAATTATACGGGAAAGTTTTATATTATAGCGTTTTCTAGTTACGTGTCGTATTTTTCAGAAATGGACTCTTAACGGGATAACGTATGCTAACGCTCTAAATATTCAAACAAAACAATATTTTATAGAGCCTGATTTTTGGATTCGCTAGCTTTTAACGTTATACGCTTGCGCATTACGATTTTGATGAGATGATTATAATCGGGATCATGATTATTTATTAATATTTTGATTATTTATTTTAAATATTTTATCCTAGAAATTCCCTTCGCCGTTCCAGTCATTCAATCCAATCCTATTCGCAATAAATACCGCTATTAACACATGACAACTAATATCTCATAATTATATCGATACTCAGGGTCCTTGGTCCCAATATTCACTTACTCATTTACAACGAGCATAATTTAAAGAGTCGCATTCTAATTTATTAATACATATTTTAAAAAAAGCAAATGTCAATCATCCATCATATCCCCAGCACACTTGCGACAGCATTCATTAAAAAAAAAATTCTACCTTCGCCCTAAAACTTTCGCAATTATACCTAAATTTCCTCGATTCTAACGACTGCACCACCAACTTATACCGATATTTCCGAAAGTATGTAAATATAATTATATCCGCATCCGCGCTACTGCCACGCGCTCGCCCACCCCTTCTTATTTAACAGCCCACTTAGCTTAAAAATTAACAGCCGTAATGGGCATCTTCCTCTGTTTCCAGGGGTCCACTAAACAACACATCGAACTCGAGGAATAAGTGAAGATGAAAGTGGTATCGGCTTCGTCCCACTTTCCCCCCAATCTTCCTGTTCTTAACCATTCGACCCAGCCTAGCAATTCCCAAGAAACAAGCAATAGCGCTAACCCGCCTTTGGGTCCGAGCTCTAACGTGCTCATGGTAGGACCCAATTATAGGGTGGGTAAGAAGATAGGCTGCGGGAATTTTGGCGAACTGCGTATGGGCAAGAATCTGTACACGAACGAACACGTGGCCATCAAACTTGAGCCCGTTAAGTCGCGAGCGCCTCAACTGCACCTGGAATACCGATTCTACAAGATGCTGCTAACCACCCCCTCCTCCACCTCTTCCAACGTCAATCAACCTTTTACTTCTGTCACTAGCTCACCGACGGTGATAATCATAGGTGTACCCAACGTTTACTACTTTGGTCCATGCGGAAAATACAATGCGCTCGTGATGGAGCTGTTGGGCCCGAGTCTTGAGGATCTCTTCGACGTTTGCGACCGAAAATTCGGCCTTAAAACAGTTCTATCTATCGCGCTCCAATTGCTGACTCGTATCGAGTACGTTCACTCTCGCCGCCTCATCTACCGCGACGTCAAACCCGAAAACTTTCTTATCGGCCGTAAATCATCGAATCCCGTTACTTCGAAAGAACGCGTCATCCATATAATAGACTTCGGATTGGCCAAGGAATACGTAGACGGAGAGACTAGCAAACACATCCCCTACCGCGAACACAAAAGCCTCACGGGCACGGCCCGCTACATGAGTATCAACACTCACCTCGGTCGCGAGCAGAGCCGCCGCGACGATCTCGAGGCCCTGGGTCACATGTTCGTCTACTTCCTGAGAGGCAGTCTGCCTTGGCAGGGCCTCAAAGCCGACACCCTCAAGGAGCGGTACCAGAAGATAGGCGATACCAAACGGGCTACACCCTTGGATTTATTGTGCCAGGGTTTGCCCGACGAGTTCGCCACCTATCTGCGATACGTTCGTAGGCTCGACTTTTTTGAAACACCCGATTACGTTTACCTCCGCTCACTTTTTAGGTACTTTTATATACATAGATCTTATAATCTATTACGATTTAAAATATCCATTCAAGAAAGATTATTTACCCCCAAATAACCACCATTTTAATTAAATTGTCGAGTAAACAATTTGATCTTTTGGTTCCGACCCGACCCAAAACTCAAGGAGTCTTGCCAGATCGCACAGGCATAAGAGTGACGGGTTCGGTGTTTCCCCACAAAACCGATAGAACCTGACCCATTTTTCGCCAACAATACACATCGAAGCGTGGATGGCCGGGTAAAATTATTTTGCCATTTTTTTTGCAAACTCCCCTTCAGAGCTCAACGTTCTTAAACGCGTCACTCGATTTTGATTGGCTTAAAATTTACCCACCCCCATCTCTATCGTTAACACATGTTTTATACAGTAATTTTTTTTAATAAAAAAAAAGCAAATTTAAAACGAAATCTCCTTTGCAAATATTTATTTATGGCCTCAAACTGATTTAATTTTTTAACAAAAAAAAAATTTATTGATTTGAAACACATGTTTTTTTGAAAAGAAGAATTTAAAATTTAAACAGTTCCTCTTTCATTTTTTCTAAATTTAAAAAGTTTAGAAAATTGTTGAAAAAAATTCTAATACTACTGCACATATGCACACAATATCTCGCAAAAACAAATCTCTTCCATTTGTAGATTTCAGAGTTGGTAAAAGATACTTTTAAATGGATCCAGTTACAGATACATCGTCTAAGAATTTATCTAGATACAGATACAGCTTCTAAAAAGTTATCTTGATACAGATACAATTCAAAATGTATCTATGCACAGATACATTTTTTATTTTACTCTTAGATGAGTTTTGAATAAACCTAAATTAGAAATGATCTAAAAAATTTATTGACTCGATATCACATTTATCAAAATATAACTAAAATAATGATTTTTAGATATTAATATAATATATGATTAATATAAATAATTATTTTGTATCATTAATAAAATAATATAATGTAAGATTAAATGATTATAAATAATTATTAGCAGTAATGAAATATTTTCAAAATTTTGGCCATTAAGACATCCTCGTTTATCTGTAAAGACATTTTTAGCTATACTAAAAAGTCTTTCAACAGGGGCGCTGGAAGGGATTGTGGTATTATATTTAATAATTAACATTTTTATATCGGGATATTGTTTAAAAATACTAAAATCTCGGCATTCATTTTTGAAAAAACTATTTAAAATTTGTTGATTATTCAGGATTTAAATCATTAACAATCATATCTCCTGCTGTGGGATACTGAAAAAAATCGGATATTAAATTATCGGTTTTTTTTTCACAGGTTAATTTGCACTCATTTGAAGACTTTGATAATTCCTCAACTAATCTTTGTATTAATTAATTTTTTTTATTAAAATTTTCATCCATTTGCAACCATGTCCAATCTAGTTTAAAAAAAAGGATGAAGCATAGTTGACAAAATATTTTCATCTTCACAAATCGTCCCAATAAACTTTGAATTATTAAATATTGATAAATTTATTATTAACTTACCTATCTTCAATCCCTTTGAGCAAGGCATTTAAGAGTGGTAAACAAAATTTCAGGTTCATTTGTTTAAAATTTTTTAATTTAATAATGAGCTGGGAAATAGTTGCACAGTAATAAGCGGTGAACATATATTTATCTCCCTGCAGGATAACAAGTGAACTTGCTACCGGCTTCATTAGCTAATTTAAAATAATGCTGTATATATAAATTTTATTTATAACTTACTAAACAATATTCATGAATAAAATCACATTCATTAGATAAAAATCTAGATATTTTTTTTCCATCGCACATCTTGTCCAATTTTTCAAATTTAGTCTTAATAATTTCTGACATTAATTGTAAAGCATTATAAGTGGAGTTCCATCTAGTTATATTGGGACATATAAAATATGAATTTTGAGATTTATTTTGTCTATTACATATATTTTGGCATTTAGACAATGTTGGGCTATATATCTAAGGAATAAAATATTAAATTATAGTTTTACCCTCTGATATTGTTTACACTACAAGGCCTATTTGCATCTAGAGTGGCAACAAGATTCAATGTGTAACTGGCACAACATTGATGATTAGGTAAAATATATTATTCTGATATCCCAAAATCCTGAGCAGTAGTATAAAGACCTGATATTGATATTGGTGCAACTGTTTCTTCATCTTCCAGATCATCAATGGATTCACTAATATTTTCAATTGGCTTGAAAACTCTATCATAAATAAGTAATATTATTGTTTATATTTATAATAAAAATAAACCTAAAAGACTTAATAAAGTTTTTTGCATTATCAGTAATGGTCTTTGAGATTTTATTTTGTATGCAATAATCCTTTACTATATCTTGTAAATTTTTTGCTATTTTATCATATGCATGATTCCCAGTCATTCTTTTACGAGCCAACGCTACATTTTTTCTTTCCAAACTTGTTGGATCTATATATTGTGCAGTGACTTTATGTATGAACTAAAAATTTACATTTCTTAAAACTGCTCAAATAATTTGTTTGTAATTAAATTATTATACAAATTTAAATGTTAGCTATACCGGCGATAGGCACTCCAACAATCTGCTGTTGTGCATATTAACGATGGTTCTATTAGACTTTTAATGATTTCTTTCTTTTCATTCTCCCATCTGTGGGAAATTCTAGCAACCACTGTCTGTCAGCAAATTATATTTTTTTGTGGAGCTAATGTTTTGATCATTTTTATATGTGAAGGATTTTCAATAATTGAAAATGGCTGAATGCTATCTATAATAAAATCAGTTATTAAATCATCTAAAGTGTTTTCTCTTAAAATTAAAATACATTTATTTAGTATAAATACCCTTAAATGTTTTACAATGTTGCAAGTTTGTCATCAATATTAATCTTAAAAATTAATATAATAGAATAAAATAAAATACCAATTCCATTGCAATTAAAAATGGCAAATTCCTTGAGATGGATTGTAATATCAGAATTTGCTTGTTATTGATAACTCGGACATATTTAATTAATACATATATTCTTTTTTATATATAAGTTTTAATATTTTACATATATATATAATTTTTTAATATATATATATATTAATATTAAGTTATATGCTCATATGAAATAAAATAAATTTTACATTCAAGTATTTTTATTTATAATATAAAAAAGCGTTAAATAGGAGTATATCAAAATGTATCTTAAAAAGTATCTAAAACAGATACAGATACCTCTAAAATAATATCTAGATACAGATACTTTAATCAAGAATCTATCTAGATACAGATACCACATTTTTGTATCTAGATACTTTAACATCTCTGGAAGATTTTGAATCTTTCTTTCTCTCTCTTTTTTTTTTAATTGTTAGTAAACTTCTCATATTTGAACGATAATGAAAGTCGAATAAAATCGGACATCTTTTGAAAGGGCTGTTGGGCCCCCGATTTACTATCAGGAAATTTAGTAGCGACCGAGTTTCCAAGATGGGTTTGAACCCACCCCGGTCCCTAAATACTCCGAGATTGTTGGTCCTCGTTCTCGAAATGTACAACAAAGCGGTTTGCAAATCGTAAAACTCCTAAACTTATTTTGGCGCAAACGCGTCAAAATCAGGAACGGAAAACATTTATTGGCCGCCCATGTCGTTTCGGCTTATTTTTTCGTTTTTTTTTTGGCGATTACAAAGAGGCTAACCCACACAAACTAGTGAAAGTTGCGAACCGATTTACTCGTCTACTCCATTTTTTTAGGTTTTTAAGAGATTTATCAACGATATTCGCAATGGCGAATTTTCGTAATATTCGGTATTCGGGTTATCCGCAATAATCGAATATATTTCGCATGGCCATTTTTATACGAAAAGGCTCACATGAGAGACCTGCCAAGTGCCCGGTTTGTTAAGAATCGGCGCAAGTTATCCGCCATATTTTATTTAAGAAAGGTTAGGGCCCGGCCCTATAAAATTTTATAATTTTTTTTTTCCTCTACGGTTATTTATTTCTTCTCTTCAGTTTAACCCGTTCTTATAGATCATGTTGTGCTTGTATTTATTTTCTAATTAGATCATTATCATTAAAAATTGGGGGGGGGGGGGGTTTATATTACTAATTTTCAGAGTTGTCAAAGGCTCCTAGATACAAGTATCTAGATCCTGTATCTAGATATAAAAATGTGGTATCTGTATCTAGATAGATTTTTGATTACGATATCGGTATCTAGATATTATTTTAGACGATGTATCTGTATCTAGATCCATTTAAAAAGTATCTTTTAACAACTCTGCTAATTTTAGTTAAAAAGCTCTTAAAATGCAAGGACATTTAAGTGGTCTTCATCGGGCGATTTTTTCGCCCGCCCATACTTTGAATGGGTGTTGTCGGGTTTTTTTAAAAAATATTTTTCAACATTGTCAAAACAACGAATGGGCGATTCAGATAATTTACGGCCCAAATGGCCCCCCTCGGTATAATTTTTTTAAAAAAGGGCCGGGGCTTACATGATCCCCTTTTCAATAGGCAAGATAGGAAAAAAAGAAAATCATAATAATAAAAATGTCATTTTTGTTTGTTTTTTAAAAAAAAAATTTCTTTTTTCTTTTTATTTAACCTTTCAAAATATAATATAAAGGAATTCGTCTTTTATTAAAAACGTTTTTGTCGTTTTTTGATCGATAAACAATATTTTTATAATTATTTTTTTTTTCGCGATTTTAATTGAATGAATGAATCAATGAAGAATTTAATGCGCGAAAGTGAAGGAAAGTTACTTGACTTGATAGGTTTTAAATTTCCCCTTTTTGTTAAATGTCCGTGGAAGTTAGAATCTTAAAATAAACGCGTTTTATTGGGGGGGGGGGCGGAAGAAACTCCGTCGCGGGGTTCATTTTGCGTTTCTTAAATATTACTTGTCAATGAGAATTTTTTTTAAAAAATTTTCTTTTTAATGCTATATAAGAAAAATTGATAAAGGATTAATAACGGGAGCCATGATTGAT